ATGCCACATTCACCCTTTCACACAGCGATGGCAAAGTCCATCGAACAGAAACTAATGCATTCATACACATTCACACACCAATGCACAGCATCGGGAGCAATTTGGGGTTCAGTATCAAGGATACTTCGACATGTGACAGGAGGGGCCGGGGATCGAAACACCAACCTTCCGTTTAGGGGACGACCCACTCTGCTTCTGAGCCACAGCCGCCCTAACTTAACGTAATCTTAACAAAAGTACAGCTGTCCATATTTAACCACAGTGGGATTGCAACTGGAGGTACCAAATATCAAATCTTACATAATGTTACTTTAGGAATACAAGAAATTATAGATACAGGAGTATACACATAATTGCTGACGAACATATATTATACACATACACGCATATGGGGGAGGTTTTGATAGCTGAGAAAAAAGCATCACATTATACACCAACACACATAATCTCCTGCCTACACAAACACACACAACTCTTTCATGCCTTCCAGCGACCTTGTGGGAAAATAATATATTGTCGTTTCCCACAGACAACTCACCCTCTGCCAATCAGCTTTATTGATAGATAATAGAAAGGAGATGACTAACGAGTAGATGTGGGTCCATACGCCTGTGCCTTCAGGCCTATACACGTGTGGGGAATAAGTGGATTTTATAGTGGAAAACTCAAGAATATAAATCAAAAGAAGCTATTTCACAAAAAGGACCATATCATTTTATGGACTTCATACCCGTAATTAAACACACAAAATAAATTTAAGCTGTAAATGCATTCACTGTGCAGAATTGTAAGGCTACTTTGAATTTGGAAACCCTATGCTTTCTCTTTAAAAACTTCACGGAAAACTAATCACCTACGCAGCTGAATAAATTCAACCCCCTCAGACATGAGTTTTGTGAGGATGTGTACCGGCTGAATGCAAGAGGTGGCTTCCATGGACAATGTAGCGATCTAAGTTCAAATCTTGATTGATGGACATTTTAATATTGGGCTTTATGGAAACTGACTCACTCCTGAAGCCAGCCTCAAGTGGCCGTCAGAGGAACTGCAGTTTGTGGCACTTCCATGTTAGTTTCTTTTACTAGCCGTGGAGGTTGCCATTTATAACCTTTCACTGTGTCCAGTGTTTATCCCTCTGAACTCATTACTGTAAGCAATAAATCCTCTTAGACTGGCCTGACATAGGGCAGAACACCTTGGTAGAGACACCTAGAGGAAGACAGACAGAAAGAAGAGGGGGAAAAATGTCTCACTCTAGTAAAGTTTCAATTTTCTGAGGAATTAAGTGTCTCCTGACTGACCTAATTTGTCTGGTGCAGACCAGCAACATGATTAAAAAAGGGGGAGAGTTAAAACCTCCTGGATCAATAAAATTCACTCTGCGTTTCACTTGGCTGATACATAGACTTGCAGGGTTAAGTGAGGGGAAAGGGAAAGGCAGGAGGGCTTACTGGCAGTGAGGGAGCTGGGGAGGATTTAACTGATCAGCATCTTGCCACGGACGTTAGAGAGGAACAGGAGAGGGAAGGTGTGCAGAGAGGAGAGATTAGTGTCTGATAGAGCTGAAATATGCTACTTTTCATATTGTAAAAAAAATGGGATATATATATATACATATGTAGGATATCAGTATGTGTCTACAACCTGTGTGTTCATGTCGAAATTTTTTCACATGGGCATCAGTTAGCTGGTGTGCTATCAATATGAGGCTAGCAGCCACAGAGCAGAACCCTCTTTACAACAAAGTGAAGTCAGAGCAGAAAAGAGCAAAGCTAGACATTTAAATACAGCTAACCCTAGCATTGCTCTTTTATTTATAGATTTGCTGCCTCATAAAACCTGAGGTTTTAGGGATCCTGGCTACTGTACCTTAGCCGCTGGCTCGATGCCAGAACGTTGCTTTCCATAAAGTCTTTGACTGGTTTAACCCTCAAATACCAAGCCTTACGATAATGTTGTGTCACATCTGCATTCATTGATTTTGTTGGCCACTTGGGGGCAGTGCAACAACTTACACTGACATGTTATCTCCCTATGAAGCTGATATATTGAAAAACAGATGCCAAATTACAACTACATGGGACTAATTTTTTTTATTTTTTTTTATTTGAGTTGAGTTTGTGTCCACCTAATAAATGTAGCTCCAATATTGTTTATTGTTTTAGTTCTGGTTTGGTCTCAACTAACTTCTGAGAAAAATATCTGGATCATTAGCTTCTTAAGTGTGTAACATTTAGGAGGATCCAGTGGCAGAAATGGAATATAATAATCATGTTTTCATTAATGTATAATTACCTGAAAACAATAATTGTTGTGTTTGTGTTATCTTAGAATGAGCTGTTTTTTTATTTACAGACCTCACGGGTCGCCTTCCATGGAGTCTGCCATGTTGAACCATCATCAAATACAGATGCCAGCGATGTTCCGTAAGTTGCAATCTGCAACTCTACCGCTAGATGCCACTAAATCCTACACACTGGTCCTTTAATGCTTAACTATGTTAGTCTCTAACTATCTACTATTTGATGATGGGCAGGTAGTGTACAATGGGTTTCTTGGAGCTTTTTAACTAAAGCTGCCTGTTGCTGCCAGAAAGGATACTGCTTCAAAAAAATGTAACCAAAACAATGATCTGAAAGAGACTAAAATGCCCCACAGACCCACAGAACTTAGAGGAGCTGCAGAGTTGGTTATTCTCTGCTTTTCTGCTGGTCCATCACCTGAAAATAA